GATAATTTTTCATGTTCGTTTTTTAGTAGGATTTGTTTGTAATTAAGCACAAAGCTACATAATGGGCTATCTGTGCTCTGCCTACTACAGGCATCGAAATCCGGATTCTAGCGTTGTAAGCCTGTAGACATACCGCTGTGCCACTGGGGGCTTTTTTATTTTCTATTTTAAACATGTTTGCAAATTACACTTGTGAGTTAAACCATCGCTTTACAAGAAGAAAGATTCCAGCCCTCCTTCCTGGTTATAACTCGCTCTGACCATTTACTGCTTTTTTCCGTCACTAAAATAAAATGCTTACATTCATATTTATGCAAGCGTTATTATAAAATAAAATATTTCCTTCTTTTACAAACATTGATATCTTCAAAGTTTATCTTATATAAATTAGTGAATAAATAACCATATTCGGTCACTCTATCGACTAATTTAAAGCTACGGGAAAAATAATATTGTTACGACAGCAGTAGTCAGGTGACGCTGCTAACACGTCATGATATTCTAGAAGGATCGGGGAACATCACGAATAATCCAGTATGTGCTAGACGCCCTCTATTCCTGTATATAAGTGCGCCGGATAACGTGAGACAAATTAATCGGAATTGAATTGCAGACAGGCAGAGATAAAGACGGACAATTGAGTCAAGCGTGGTAGTGACCGTAAGAAGTGCGTGAATCATTGTGAATTATAGCGTGTGTTTAAAGTGACTGTGGAAATTAAGTGTATTACAAAGTTGAATTAAGAAGGAATAAACTAGTTTTATTTAAGAAAGGACTTGTATCGCTAAAGTTTTCTCCGAAAGAAATTATACGGGAAATTAACAAACGACCAGAGGCGTAACAATGTGGTTAAGACATCTTGTGTACTTTTGTTGATGTATAAAATCTGAATAGTTTTATTATGTAAAAACATACGTAAACCACTACTTTTAAAGTATTATACAGCATACTTAAATAGCATTTCAGAGAATCTTTTGAATCTCATCGTCTAGCCCAGCTAGCGAGTTCTGGTACTAAACGAAAGGTCACTTAGGCAGCGACTAGTGGAAGACCAAATTTAGATCTGAAATGCTCTTTATGCATGCTTCTGATTTTTATTTTAAATCCGAAATGGCCAAATAAAGGGGAATGTGGGAAAATATCAGTTTACTGATTTTTTTTATAATAAATGTTAGGCCTATGTCAAGCTTGATTGCTACCTAATGCTGTAAGTATGAGCTCTTTGCCATTTGAAAGTAAACTACGATGGTAAGAAATCTCAGTTAGGTGTAAACCCTTCGTCAAAGCATTTAGAAATCGGATACTTACTAGAACGCTGATTTTTAATGAAGTAAAGCTGAAGACGTTCCTTGAATCTGTTTTCATTGACGTAAAACTCCACCCGTACCCTAAAAGAAAAAAAAATATGTAAGAAATGAGTTATGTGTCACACCTAAAAGAAAGATCCATGTGTAGTATATAATGGACATAAGCAAATTTAAGTTAATTTTTTAACGACGTTCTACTTTCCTCTATGAATTGAGATTCAGTGGTTATGTATGATATAGAGACTCGCTGATGGTTGATGTAAAACTTCCTCATCTTGAAATAGATAACATATACAATACTATGATCTTATTATCACAGTGTTTTCTCTCGAGAATGCACGTCTTAGAGTTAATAATTCATTCGATAAAACATTGTTAATTGTTAAGTTAGTGTTCAGAAAATGAGTTAAGTGAATTATTTGCGAAAAATGAGCAGAACATTATTATGAGTTTTTAGAGTACTACAAATGTAGCCAAAGCAAATTATCCACGACGTTTCACCAGTGAAAAGGTTTCATTTGGTAAATGTGGGATACACAACATTGCACCAAGGCCATTTTCAATTATAAAAAACATAGAAAACATATCTACTATAAAATTGTACTGAGTCCCAATACTCAAAAGCACGTGATTTGACAGCATAATAAGTTAAGGTATTGTTTGTTTGTTT